CTGCCCAAGGGTATCTACACCAGAGGGCGGCGTAAGTCGACGTGTCATAAAGAAAATTTTTAAATTATGTCTCATGCCAGATAACATGCCAGGTAAAGACAGAGTAGGACTGAGGAGAGAAAATGTAAACCTTACATGGGTTACAGTGGCACATGTAGCACCAGTGCTCAGCCTGGCTCTGTGATCGTCATCTGTGAGTTCAATTAGCTACGCGTGCTTTTTGCCGGTTACTGACACTGCGATAGAAAGCAGGCACTTGCGACAGCGGCGGCTATTTACAGCATACGGGCCTATCTTCAGATAATCGATAAAACTAGGTCGATCGGTGCAGTCTGAAGCCATCCGCGTTTTTGCTGATACTGGTACTGGTGACCTATCTGTAACGCATCGCAGCAATTTTTATGCATCAGGAGTTTTTCCAGCATACCGGCATGCGACTTTTGCATTCGTCAGCGTACCGGCCCGGTATGTTGATATGGCCTGGCTAGAACCATGTTGTCATCAAATTCAAAATGTGCTAATCTTTTCATGAAATGGTAAAATGTCTCACTTTCAACATCTGATATGTTGTCTATGTTCTATTGTGAATAAAATGTGGGCTTATGAGATTTGCAAATCATTGCATTCTGTTCTTATTTACAACAATTTACACAGCATCCCAACTTTTTTGGAATTGGGGTTGTACTATTATCAAATTATACGATGTCACACTTGGGCTTTCATTTGATACCATGACCTTTGACCTTGAGAGACCTTAAAAGGTTAAACTGAAGGTTGCGGATTTTCAGATGGCTATCGAATCAGAGGCTAAAGCACTAAAATAAGTGCTACCAGGCAAGGTTTGTTTTGCTTGGCAACACTTGTTTAAATTTTGAATGCTGAGTTGGCAATTGGATTGCGGGTGGTAGCAAGGGGATTTTTTTATTTTTACAAGCAGTTTAGAATTCTGTTGAATTTTCAGAAATGCTACCAAAGATAATTATTATTAAGGAGTAGGGATCCTGCATTTAGTGTTACAAAAGGAATGAACGTATGTTGTAATGACATTTTTCATTGCGGTAAAAGGCTGGAATGGCAGCTCACGAAGAGCATCCAGCCTAATGAGGCTGGAGAGTTATCCTATGGGAATATACAGACGCAGTGTCAATCAGCGTAAAGTGGAATTCACGTGCATGGATAAAGTGCCGCCCGCCTGTCAATCTCACGCCAGTTGTCCCTCTGGAATTTCCACAATTGTGCTTGATTTCCACTTTGTGGTCTTCAGTTCACTGGCTTCACGGGATGGAAAGAGCACGCTTTTAGTACTGTCACACAATGCATTTCTACTGCCTTGGCCCAAATTTGTATTCATATATGTAATAAGGTAATGCTTTGGGCTTTTGTCTTTAAGTCATATTACTTGCTAGCTGCCCGTTGAAAAGTGAGACAAATAACAGATTTAAAAATGTTAAATTATTTTGTACTCTTAGGTTAATTGCAGTTTCAAAAGCTTTTATTTTTATTTTAACTGTTGAACTGAACTCAATATCCAGACCCTTACCTCTTAATTATTTTAGAAGAGAAATGGTTTCTATTGAAACAATGCCAACACATTTTAAGTTTTTGCAACCCCACCTGAAGCCATGAGATGATGGCTTTTAAAGAAGGAGCTAAATGCATGTTAATAAAATATCTCTCTCACGTTCTGAATTGTGGAGAGCACTCATGGTAGTTAAACTGGATTGTTTTTTAGTTTCTGCTTGTAAACCATGGAACAGGCTACGTACACAATGGTGACTTAAAATTTTCATTATGTATTATATATAAAGTATTTGTGTATGTAAATGTTTGCTATTTTCTTTCTAAAAGAAAAAAAATCCAACATGTGGAGACTTAAGTTGTTTTTGTTTTCCATTCTAAATTTGTATGTCATTTGACTGAACGCCAATTCGGCTGACTTTCATTTCAATCATAAATCTGACTGAATTGAGTCTGAAATGTATTGTTTATTTTTCGTATAACTGCACGTGAGTGATTTTGGGGGATGGTTGAAGGGAGGGGCTGGTGGTTGATGCAGAGACGTCTAATTTGCTTCAAGACAAAATGTGAACTTGTTCTGGCCCTCTGAGACGAGGGAAACCCTTTTGAAAAGGCAGTGCTACAGCCCCCCCTTGTGTACTGCTGAGTAAGCTGTTAAGATTTCAGGCTTGCACCAGAGAAACATGAGCAACATTGGCTAGAGCAGTGGTGCCTGAACTTTTTATGCCGTGCCCCCCTTTTGTAGATAAAATTATTTTCAGGCCCCCTCCTCCCACCATGGCCACCCACATGCTCCCACAAAAATACACTTTCAGACACGTCCTTTGCTTGCAAATATGCAATGTCATAATTTATTGGAAACAGACTGTAATTTATATACAACTTCAACTTCATTGTGTAAAATCTTACTGAAAACTAAGGAAAAAGTCACTTTATATATATTCTTATCTTTTACAGAGTAACAAATTTGCCTGGTTCTCTGCACAAAAACAAAGTTATCCGACTCCCATAGAATCAAAAAATGAACATTTTCTTTGCCTGAATTACACTTACTGTGTGACATCAACTTACTGAAAAACTAAGGAAATGGTCACTTTCAGAGTTGAAGCATTAGAAGTGACACTGCAGCATCTATGTTCTCAAATTTTACTGTGCAACAACATTCATTGCTTTCAACAGACTTTCTCTGCACTCAAATGGCAAATTTTCTCCAGTCCCGAAGAATAAACAAAAACCTGATTTTTTTTTTTCTCTACAAGTATTTACCCTCTAGTTTAGGATTCCTGCAGTCTTTTCAGTGATTGGTATGGGCTTGCTTTTTGCTGCAGATCTTCTCAAATCGGGGATGCAGCTGTGAGACTGCCACTCTTAGCTCATTTCCAATGTCCAGCTTTGATCTGTATTTGGTCTTGATTGAGGCGACAGCAGAAAACCCCATCTCTCGTCGGTAGGACGTGGCAAAATGCAGTAGTGTGATCATGGCTCTCCTGCCCAGCAGTGGGTAGTCCTTTTCCACTCTAATCTAAAATGCACCAGTGTCTTGGACTGAAAGTGCAGCCTCATTGATGAGTCAGCAGTGACATCAATAAACTGCTCCTCTTCCACAGCACTGACGTCTGCAGCTTCTGTAGCACTGAATGGGTCTCGGATCCAGTCATATTTTGCAAGATCCTGCAGTGGAAAATATCTCTGGAAATGTTTTTTGTAGGGCAGATATGTCTTTTCATGCATGCAGTCACTGTGGTCTGCAGCTTGTTGACATCAGTGAATGATTTGAGATTCTCGAATGAATCTGTATTCCCCTTTCACCTGTGCTCCCACATCTCCAGTTGTCTTGGGAATGATGTGATTTTATCTGCCTGCTGTGGAAGGTTTGTGTTGGTGCCCTGCATCTGCAGATTTAGTTCATTGAGTTTCTGAAACATGTCACTGAGGTACACAAGTTTCATGAGGATGTTGTCATCATTTAACTTGTGGGCAAGTTCATTACCCTCCTCCTCCAAGAAGACTCTGATCTCATCCTGCAATTTAAACACCTTGGATTGGACATTCCCACGTGACAGTCACTGCGACTCGCTGTGAAACAAAACAGCTGTGATCGGATCCCATTTCCTCACACAGGGCAGTAAATATTCGGGCTTTCACTGGTCTTGTTTTAATTGACCACTGCGGTAGTTCAGTCAGGCCACGGAGTCACGCCCAGCTGGCAAGCCTGCCTGCATTAGTGATGGTACAGATCGCAAGCCAAGCCCACGTCAGCCGACAGCTCAGCTGATTCCTTTCAGGCACTCAATTGGCAAATCTTAAACTAGGCCCCTATTTAAAGATGCTTTGCCTGCCCTCTATTGCAGCTTTCTCTGCTCATTTTGCAGCCCACCTCCATCCCCAGCTCATCCTTTACATGTTTTTCTGACTTAAGTCAATGATGATGCAAAATGATCGCCCGGCCTGTTCTGTACCCCTGGGAGGGGGGGGTTTTCTGCTGCTCTCTCCGCCAGTGGCTTTCATGCGTATGCATGGAAGGGCAGGTTTTTGGCTCTCCCTGCCTACTGGCTTTTCAAGCATACACGTGGTAGGGCGGGGAGGCCCCAGAACAGAACCATCCCGCCAAAATCAAATAATGCAAGTAAATTCACAGCAAATTATATAATTTGGAGATTTAGACAAAGTGGACCTGACTGAAATGTAGTTTACCGTAGCAATGACGTCTGTCATTACATCATTCACTCGGGACTCAGGTGTTTAGATGCGAGCGCCTCACAGTGTATCATACAGTGTGTCTACTGTGCATCGGGAACAACGCGCCTGTCCCCCCCCCCCCGCTTCCCCAGCCATTGCCTGAGCCCTATTTGTGCAGATTCCAGCACAGCCCTTCCAGTTCAGCCTCTTTAAGTGTAAATGATTTTATACCACTCATTTGCAGTTGCTCTCGCAGTTACAAGTCTGATGTATGATATCAATAAACAGCCTTTGCCACGGTCAGTCGCTTCATCAATCTGCAGAGCAAAATGGGAGTTTAGTATCTTGTCATTAACCTGCTCATCTATGTCTTTTAACGTGTTATGAATGTGCCTAGCAATTGTGCTGTCTGATAGAGGATAGCTTTTAGTTTGTTGGCGGTCCATGGTTGAAACCATATTAATAGCAGAGGGAAGTATTACTTCCTCAGCTATGGTGTGCGGCTTCTTACATCGAGCAACTCTGTACACCACTGTGTAGGAGGCAAGTTGAGCATGCGATGGCACTGATGCTACTTAAGTAAAGCAACTCCGTGGTGCACGACAGCTTAAGAGTTTAGGAAGAAATCAACCTGCTTCTCTTTGTGTTCGGGATGTTAAGTCTCCAAATGGCGTCTTAACTTGTTCGGTTTTATACTGTCGGGAGCCAGTAGTTTGAGACACACAACACACTGCGGTCTCCCTTCATTGCTCACAATTGTACTGGTGAAGCCGAGGGCGAGATATGCCTCGTCATATTTTCTCGTCTTTGGCGTTGTGGTCAGTGCGCGTGACTCTTACCCGAGAGTTTGGGGTTCAAACCCCCGCCTGAGACCTCCTTCAGCCTGCCCCACTTGGCTTACGCGAGACGTTTGGTGATGATTCGTCATCTGCTGTACGTTTACCAGACAGTCCTCTTACAAACTTGTCGATGCTAGCAGAGCAGAATTGTGCATGGTTCACCGTTACATTTTTTAATTGGTCCTCCTCCGTGTTTTTGAGGTGGGTTTCATTAATTTGATTTGTCGGCAAAGCTGGATCTTCCCATTTTTTTGCCACTAGCCGGTCGAGCTTGTGAGAGAAAAAAGTCACTAGCCCTCAGAAGATTTAACAAGCCCAACTGAAAAAGACTGGAATATCATTAATTGCACAGGTACAAACGTGATTAAAACACTTTGTACAAATCAAAAAGAAATTTAAATAAATAAAAAACGCTAACAGTTTAAATGAAGCAAATTATTTCATGTCTTCAGTTCGTACACTGCCCGGCCAAAAAAGTCACCTCTTGGATTTAACTAAACAAAAAGGTAAGAGCCTTTCATTGGATAATTACTGCAGTGATTAATATGTTCCAGCTGGTAACAAGTTATTTAACCCTAACTGATGCAGTTAGTAGCTTCTCATTTTTAAGCAACAATGTCAGATCATATCCTGTGGCCATGGAAATGGTGTTGATGTACTGTTTCAGAAGGGTCAAATTATTGGCCTGCATGAGGTAAAGAAAACAACAGAGATTTCTGAAACTACTGAAATTAAGTTAAGAACTGCGATTAAGAGCTGTAAATTCAGATTTGGTTAAGATATGTAAATATCGAAGCTTACCCTGCCAAGACAACGACCACAAGCGTATACATGAGCACGAAAAAAAAAAAGAAACGTTACATTACTGCAAAGAGTGAGATAATGACGTTGATCTTTAGGCATGGGCACTCTGACAAAGCGGCCGTGAACCCATGGATTGGCTTTCGGGGGAGCCCATTTTCCGGTGCGCATCACAACAAAACCATGTCACCTGCACATGCATAAATACAAGTGTGTGGCAGCGCGGTCAGTAACAGGGTTACTGCGAAAAACATTGTACGAATACCACTGCTAGGAGTTAATACCGCCAGTAATATTTGGGTTACTGCGAAAAACATTGTACGAATACCACTGTTAGCAGTTAATACCGCCGGTAATATTTCATAGAGGCACAAGCGAATGTCAAATTTATGGGAAGAAAACGAAATTGGCAATTACCTTGGAAAGAATTCCTGTACAGCGATAATTGGGTCGGTTAAAACGTCCGAAAACTTGCATTTCTGTGCAATTACCTCACGAGTGCAATATCTGACATAAAGGTGACATAAAGGCAGGACATAAGTGACTTGAAAAAGCACGCGATGAGACGGACGAAAGCTGCAATATTTAACGATATTTAAATATATTTAAAACAATGCCACAATGTCCCGTAAATTGCCCAACAAAACAGCGTCTGCATAAATCCCGTAAAATGACCAATTAACTGCACGCTAACTGCTTTATTTCTGCCATAGATCTCAAATATACAACAATCGACTCTGGACTAAAAGAAAAGTCACTTGCAGACCTACTCACCTATTTGAAAGGCATTCGTCAAACTTTGCGCTGAGCAAAATCCTCGTCTTGTCTTGAAATTAATACAACAGCCGTGGACGTTATCATTATTTATGTCAAACTTTAGCTTATCTTGATCTGTTACCTGTTGACTGCATTGCTGCTTGAGGAAGGGTCGACCGTGGTGTGGCAACTGCTTGAAGCCAAATGAACTTAGTGCTGGTAGCTTTGCTACCCTCTCCTCCAGTTCTTTCTTTTCTTTTTTGACTACTGCTTTTATGTTTGAATGGAATTACTGCTCCTAAGTTTGCAAATTTGATGATGTTCCGATTTTGCGCTTGAACTCAGACGTTACAGACATTAACGTGGTCACATGATCAAATCAAATACAGACTTGACATTGGGCAACACATTACCCTGCAATCATCTTGACAATTTGCATATCAGTATGAAAGAAAAATATCAAATAAAATAAGAAAATAGTTGATTTCAGTAATAGTCTTTACAACGTGGGAATATTAATATTAGATTACTGACATGGAGGTTCACATAGAACATCATGCCGTGGGACTAGGTGAGCGAGGGGAATACACGTAGTAACAACATGGCTTATGACTAATGTGATCGTTTTTTCTGTTTGACGGTAATGAGAATGTAGCTCAGCGAAGCTGCAGCGGGGGCCCTCACTGGCCATGGGCCCTGGGGCGGCTGCCCCTTGGCCCTCGCGGTTGCTCCGCTTATGCGTTATGATGAAATGTTTAGGCGAGTGAATAATAAATTCTCTAAAAATGATTAATTCACATGACTAAATAGGCAACACTTCACGAAAAAACCACTGTGGATTTTCCGCGTTAAATTTTGTCACATCCTAAGCAAGTCGTCAAACCTGTGCGTAATGATTGTTTAATTGAAAAAGATTGAAATGCGCTCTTTTTTGCGTTCAATTGGTGCGTTTGGTTTCTCGTCTTAACGAAGACAATTAGCAACACCTGAGAGGGGAGAGTTCAAGTGTCTTTTACCAGAGAAATTGACTGAAAACAGATCAAGACTAATAAGCGGTTTAAAGACATGTTTATCGCCCTCCTTGTTCTCTGTCCACCACCCGCCACTGCTCATAAGTTGTACTTTAATACTTTTAATAGTACTTTTCGAGAGATAAACTGCTCTGGCACTTCCGCGCTACCTTTTCGGCTCATCAGGCGATCTAACCTGTGCTTCATGATCGATTGAATAATCCAAATTGAACCAAAGACAGAGATTTGAAATGCACAAAATTGCGCGTCCAAATGAATGATTGTCGTTTTGTCTGAACGAGGCGAACAAACAACACTTGATAGTGCGGAGTGTTTTCGGATTGAAGGCATATTTAATTAGAAAAAAATTATTGCGATCGAATCAGAATTATTAATTGTTTTAAAGAAATGCTTATTGCCCACGCAATTTTAAGTTCTGGCTGCGCTCCTGGTCCATGGGTGCTTCAGTGAAATACCCAGTGTGCTTATGCCAATCTGTGCCGGGAGCTCGCAACGGGAGACCTGCCCTCTTTTGTAAATTTCTCTCGGTTATTCTCGGCGCAGTTCCGACCAGCTAATAGTTTGTAACTCCCGAGACCAGCTGAATTCGCTACGAGCTGATTGGCTGCTGAGACGGTTTAGTGCTTAACGTTCTAAACCAGCTTCTTGCGATGTGACAAGCTGAATCGCTGGCGACGCCATCAGCCGGTTTGCAACTCGCTGAGATGGGCCAGTTCACACATCTGCGACTCCTCCCTGCGACGTTCTAAAACGGTCTCGTCTTGTCTCGAATCTTTGGTCTGAACTGGGCTTAAGGGAACAAAGTTTGTGAAGACTTCAAAAGGAGTTTTGTACACCTATCGCTGCTGGTGGTCATACACAAGTATCAGAAGACAGCAGGTTAACCAGGTTACCTGGGCGTAAGTCGCAGCCTGCACCGGGGTATATTCTGGCCTGTCTGGCCTAGGCCAAAATATACCCCCCCAGGCCAGATTATACCCCGGGAGTAGTATACTCCCTGACTCTAATTTAGTAGTCCAGATCATGTTCCAGTGCAAGTTATTTTGTAAACTTTCACTATAACTATAATGTCAATTGATGGTAGTCAAAAGATCACATATTTTAAATGGCTAGACTTGCTTCACTTGTGCTGAAGATGCTATGTTGAAGTACATTGTAAGGGTCAACTCACACTTTGCTAAGGTATTCCTAAGACTGTTGTCGAGGAGTTTACATGTAGTAATACATTTTCAAGTAGAGAAAAAGACTTGGTAATTTGCAAGTGATACACTGTGTAACACTGATACATTATGGTTGCCGAATTTTCTTCCTGCTGAGGAAGGATTTGGGCACCAAGTTTGTAGTATTCATGGTGGTAGGTACAATCCACTGTCCAAAGTACTGTGTAGCTATACTGATTATGGACAAAGAGCAAAACAATGTTTAAGATAAAACTGGGTCGGCATAGTTTTTTACTACATCATCTTCTGGGCTAGACATTTTATACCCCCTTATATTGTACTCCACACATTCAGGCTGGGGGTTTTACTGGGCCAGCCAAGGTATGTTCTGGGCTTGTCGAGTTCATATACCCAGGGCATATTCTAAGCTAGTTAATTGTTTCATACCCGTCTACGCCAGATTATACCCCTACTCGAGTGCACAAAATAATCAATACTACAGCATATCTCAATTTTTATTTATTTCACAAACGTTAAAACATCTACATTTCTTAAGGAGAAATATTAAATGTCTTTAGCTACTTCAAACTGACTGATATATGTAGACAACAAGATAACTTACCGTGATGCGTGAAATTACAGTATTTGATATTAAGGCTGTCTGGGCAGCGGTAAAATATACTGTTTGTAAGATGAGTGTAATTGGCATGATCTTACCACCAGAGCATGTGAACTGGCAATGGATCTTACCTGTGATTTGACTGACCCACCCGCTGTGTTAAGCTCACTCAGAAACTTTGATTTGACAGTGTTCATGAAAAGCTAAGAAACAGAATATACTTTGCATTACAGAATACTTTGGAGATCCACCAGGATAGCTGTCTTATTTGGGTCCTAGAGAGTAGGTAATTTATAATTCAATGGTCAGATGACTTGCACTTGTGGTCAAGGAGTTTATGATCCCAGAAATCTATAGTTTAAAGACCTAGCAATTTTTCAATTCTCTGTATTATTTTTTTTTTACAATTTCAATGCAGAATTTTCATGAAGATTTTTTGTGTTTGCAGCCCTTTTTCTCTACCAAAATCATGAAAATAAACTGTAATGTGATGGAATTCTAAATGCTTCAAGTGTCCCGACTCAATTGAGCCATTCATTTCCTGTCTGTGAAGCTGCAATCTTGAATTATAAAGCCTTAAATAAGGTAACACATAAATAGCCAGATTTGGCTTCTGCGCAAAGGGGTCAAACATACAGGCATTACATAGAATTTTGTTTAAGTAGTGT